TACATTTCCTAGTAATATTAGTAATGAAAGTTAACAATTATAACCACTGAGGAATTTTAGTAGCCACCTTAAAGAAAACATAATCTTTTAAAGTTATCTACATACATAGAGAGAATTATTAAAAGAGTAAGTATAGTATTCCTCCCAAACAGTTGTGTCAGTTTTCTGAGCATTTACTCTGGCAGTTTTTAAGAGAACATGGATTACTTAAAGTCATCTCTACCTCAGATAATCAGGGAGAAAATTAAATGTAATTGACATTAAGAATAAAAGCTTTTCTTCTTCATCTCAAAAAAAAATAAATTATGTGTAAACTACATTTAAAGTAGGAGCTTTTACAGACCAAGCCTAATTTAGTTCTTTGAAATCAATGGTGTCTACATTAATACAAAGATTTTACTGCCCTGTCCCTCAACATTAGCAGAGATAATATAGTGATCTTCTTTGCTTTCCAGTCACTGAAGATATGTGAAAATTTTCTACAAATATATTTCAGGATGTTTACAGAAATTAAAAAAAAAAGGACCAAATAATCAGTTACAACAAAAACAGTCATACTCCAAAAGATATTTTATACCTATGATTCCCCATATGTTCCATGTCCAATAAATTGAAATATAATACCAATTAAGTACCTATTTCTTCTTTTGTAGCTGAAAATTGTTTAATTATTGACCAAATCCACTCAAGTAAAACAGTTTCTAAATTCAAACAAAAGGCTGACACTACTATTTACTATTACTACCAACAAATCAAATAGAAATATTTCAAGGTTTTTAATTTGTGACAGAATGACTTTTTAAAATTCAACATTATAGAGACTCTTTTTTTAAAGATAAAATTGCTCAACAGCAGCTCTTTTAAAAGGTTTAGAAAGGGTGAAAACATTGCCCGCCTTCAAGCCTCACCAGCAGCCACTCCAGGAAGGGTCTCAAAGGCACAGGACTCCAAACCAGGCAGGTGCCAGCTCAGCAGGGACAGGTGACCAGGGACTAGGAAGTATAGGACAGTTTACACACAAGTTTCACCCTGGAGCTACTACATTTCCTTTGCTTCTGTTGTGATGAGGAATGCAGATATGGAAATCATGAAAATCAGAAGCCAGAAATTGACTTCGTAAAAAAAAAGAAAAAAAAATTATCCTACCTTTTAGCATTAGGAAACCAGTACAGGCCAAATAAACGATGCTGGCAAACTGAATTTATCCTTCTCTTAAGCAACCAGTTTTGGTTACAAGCCAAGAACACGCTAAAACAGTAGTTCTCAACTGTCAATAGAAACCTTAGTCAACAGAATGGTGCCCAACGTGTGAACAAGTGCATCCACAGAAAACCTGAGCGAGCTTGGAACAGAGTTAAGCATAGCTTCTCAGTAGCAGCAATTTTTCTGGTTTGCTCTGCTTGCTAGCGGCAAGCATTCTCAAGAGAGGCTTCTTGACTCAACTTTAGCTGCAAAATCTTGCAGCTCTTTTAAGAAGTCCTGCCATAAAACACTTAAATGGTGTTGATGGAAAGCTGACCGCATCCTTTTTGGTAGTGGCAGGGACCTGGAAACGCAGTAGAGTTGTGGCAATAAACACAGCTCCTGGCTGGTACCTCCACCATGAGGCTAGAATCTCAGAAAGCTAAGGAATGGACTGGATCCAGCCGTCAAAACTATGGCTTTAATCCTAGCTTTATTGCTTAGTACATTAAAGACTTGTGTAGTTAGAAAAAGAAATATATACAGTAAAGATAGACTCAAAAGCAAAGAAAACCTATAAATGGTTTACAGTGTGTTTAAAAATATATGCATGCTTGGAAGACAAAGGAAAAGGGTAAAATCCTTAAAAATAAGAGAGAAAGTAGTTGGCTGTGGTGGCACACACCTTTAATCCCAACACTGGACCTCTGTGAGTTCAAGGACAACCAGAGTGAATTTCAGGACAGCCAAAGATAAACAGAGAAACCCTGTCTCAAAAAGCCAAAAATTAAAAATAAAAATAGAGGTCAAAATAAAGCCATGTAAACATGAAAAATACACAGTGAGTCTGGATACTGTATGTTATTATAGTCTCTTTGAATTGTTTGAATGCTGAGAAAGGAGCAACAGCTGCTAAAAAATATTTGTTCATAAATGCTGCAGGACCGGGCAGGACAGAAAACCTCTGTCAACACTCAACCTGTGGTTGAGACCCCTTTGGGGAATCAAATAACCTTTTCACAGGCGTTGCCTAAAATCACTGACAAACACAAATACTCACATCATCATTCATAACAGTGCCAAAATTACAGTTATGAAGCAGCAATAAAAACAGTTTTAATGGGTGGGGGTCCCCACCACATGAAGAACTATATTAAAGCATTAGGAAGAACTACTGCTCTAAAAGCAGATTCATTAGTAAGAATCTAAAATATGTGACTCCCAAGCCGTAGCTATCCCTGCCCTGCCACCCTGGACTGTAACCCTGACTTCACAGGGAAGATAGACTCTCCATGTACCAGAGAGCACCAATGATAAGATGAATTTAGAAGTTAAAAGTTTTAAAAATTTCTACTTTATGCACTATTTTAAAGTACATGTTTTAAGAAAAAGAAGATTAAAATGAGGGGGATGAATTAAGAAACTCCTAACTTTAATACAATAGAGAATATATTTTCAGCATATTACAATTCATTTTTTAAAAATTCTAGTGTTTTATAGACTGCATTAGTTGGTTAAAATTTAAGCATCTGAGTTCTTAGGAAGCTTGATTATTTCCAGGTAACACTGGGACCTGGCAGTTGTAACGGGCTACTTCACTTTAGCAACATGAAAAAGGAAAACAAAGGTTTAGAAAGAACAACTATGTTCACCACCAAGACACTTGTTATATAATACTTAAAGCATCAAAGAACCAGACTCAAAACACTTTACTATTTTAGCTCTTACTAAGAAGATTAGATGTTAAAACGGATAAACACAATCTGCGGAATTAAAACAGAAATGCTGTGTGGAGCAACACCTGAAGACTCAGCCTTACAATATAACTTTAAAAGATCCTCTCAAAACTTCCAGTTTAGGTCAGGTAGGAAGTTTCATAGCTACATTTTACTCCGAGTTCAGGATTAATTTAGAAAAATATCTAACCTATTGTTCTGATATCATACTTTGGGAAAAAAATCCTTTAAAGAACAAGAAAAGGGGGGGTGTCTGTGGAACTACTGAGGTTGAGGCGCATTATCAGAATGCTTTCCTAGCCGACTCCAGGTTCCAGCTGCCACCCCTAGCACCATTAACAGTTATCAAGATCAAAACTGTGTGTGCCCAAAGAAGACAACCTCTCCATTTGCTAATTTGTTCTGCTTTGAGAGCCATTATATTTTTTGGCATTACTAATAATCAAGATAATTAAATGGAGTGATTCTGATGCACTTATGGGACTTAGTTCTGGATTTAGGGTTAAAGGTTTGGGCTGTGTAAAATGTTTTTAATTCCTAAAACAAAGGGAACTTTTTGTGTATTTCTCTTCATTTAATCAGAATGATGTACAAGTTTTTGTAAGCATAAAGCAAAAATGTAAACTAATAAGCATTTATTGGTGGCTCATTCCCAGTCCAAGAAATGTAAAGAGTAAATGAAGTTGAAATAAATTCCTTTAGATTACAAAGAATTAACAAGATAGCCTCGCTTTACATAAGCTGAGCTTCACCTGACAGCTGACGCGAGTAAAGCGAGTCGTCCAACTACTACGCGCTTCTTTCCTTCAATAAAACAGGGCAAATACTAGTTATGTCCTCTTTGTAAGAATGGTATGTCTAGACGGGTTGTAATTCATTCTCTTAGATGGAGTCAGTCCCGCAACATCACCGGTGTAGCACACGTCTGAGAAGTGGCCACACGAGACAAGCTAGCACTTCCTCCTCACATTTCCATTTTCCTTTGACTAATCTAAAAGCAGCTTCCTAGTCATTTCAACCCTCTATCAACTGCACCCCAGTGTAAATGTTATTAAGTGGACAATTCAATTCTCACTAAACTCTAAACTTTATGAAGGTGGTGGCAGTCTTTATTTCTGATCAGTACTGAATCTCAAGCACGGAGAATGGTAAGGAGGACATAATAAATGTCCAAAACTTACCTATGAGCGATGCACTCTGTAGTAGCTTCTGGTCTACCAATGGATTATCAGAACTTGTAACTTTTATGACTTTTTAAAAAGAAACATGAGCCTTTCTCCTCAAAGAAGCCTTCCAAGACCCACATATGAAGCCCCTAATCCTCCAAATTTTCATTTCCCTTCCACTTCCATGTCAGTAAAAGAAAACTCAAAACAATATATCACATAAAGCCAGGTCATCACACAGAGGGACTTTAAACAACTCAAAATGACTATCGTTAAAGTACGACCCTCAAGATGACTTGGGTGAGGACCAGCCACAGGGAACAGACACCTGAGAAGTGGAGCCTGGGTCTGTCTGTGGTGCAGAACCTACTTCCCAAGGGCAGATGACAGAAACTCCAAATCCCCATAAAAGACTGCCAGGCACAGAACTCAACTCTTAAGTCACCTCCTTCTGCAGCAACCCCTGTCTTTGCCCCGAGAGCTACCAAGGAACTTAAAGCCTGTGCACACAGACCAGACCTGCGCTGTGAGCACACCCTTCAGGCCTGCAGTGTGTGCAGGAACAACAACTCCACGTGGTCCAGGAGGTGCTGCAAAAGACAGCGACACAGCAAGCCGCTCCTAGGATGCAGCAACTACAGACAAGTGTGTCCCGACAATCCCCGGGGGCGCCCAAGGGGAAAAGAGGCACTGAGCAGCCAGGGGCGCGGAATAGGGCTCCCAGCTCCCACGGCTGCCTTGGGCAGCACGGGAAACGTCCACTACACGCTCGTCCTTCCCTAGGGGCCCCCTGTCTAGGACGGAAGCGCACTGCAGACCAGGGCCGCGCTGGGCCTTGCCCTTCCCCGGCCACCGCCCCCGGGCAGCCGCCGCTGCCCTGACTGCCTCCCGCCAAGCCCGCCCGCCCGTCCCTCACCTTATCTTGTAACTGGGCAGGGTGTGCTTGCGCTTGATGATCTTCTTGAGCTGGTTGACGATGATGGAGGTGAGCTGGGGCATGGGCCGCCCCTCGAACTGGGAGCGCACCTCGAAGTCAATCAGCGGGTCCTCCACGAAGGAGAAGAACCAGTGGGTGAAGGGCACGCGGGTAAGGACGAAGCGCAGCCGGCCCACCACCCGCGACAGCTTGACGAACAGGTAGGCGGACTTGCCGAACACCAGGTCCACGTCGATGGCCAGGTGGAAGCCGCCGTCGTACTCCACCTCCGCCTCGAAGGCCAGCTCCTCGGGGCAGGTGGCGGGCAGCGCGTCCCCGTCGGGGCCGTCGGGCTCGCCGGTGCCCGAGGCCACCACGGGCCGCACCAGGCGGATGGTCTTGATGAAGGGCACCGTGTCGCCCAGGAACACGTCGCGCAGGCTCAGCCCCTCCAGCAGGCGGCCGGCCGTCTTGGTCTGCAGCAGCTCCTCAAACTCCACCTTGATCTTCTTGGTGACCCAGCGGCGGGCGAGCGCCGTGTCCCGCAGCTCCCGGAACAGGAACAGGATGGTGGCATTGAGGAAGTAGCAGGTCTCCCGCGTCGGCGGGGCCGGGCTGTCGGGGGTCGGAGTCGGAGTGGAGCCGGCCTCGGACGACCCGGCCGCGGGCTCCTCCGAGCCGCCGCCATAGAGGTACTCCCTAAGGGGCAGGCCCGGCACCGGCTTGAGATAGCGGAAGCCGTCGCCCGCGCGGGCCGCCTCGTCCGCCCGCGGCTCGGGTTGTCTGCGGTAGAGCAGCAGGAACTGTGCGAGCAGCGTGAGGAACGAGCCCAGCACGGCCGACGCCAGGATCATGAGCAGCAGCCCCATCCCGCCGCCTCCGCCGCCCGCCGGCCTGCTCCCGCGCTCTCCGCGCCGCCCTCCTCACGCCGTCGCCCCCGTCGCCTCCATCTTGCGGACATCGGTCGGGAAGGAGCGGCTCCCGGGGCCCGTCCCG